GTTAACAATTGTCATATCCGAGAATGTTAACCATGAATGGACTAATACTCTTAACTTTTCTATCCATATATAGATATAAAACTGCGTGTGAATGGCTTCTCGTGGTTTCTCGCAAGCATGCATCAGCTATGGTTATCAGATCTGTGGATGGTGCTCACACCGAGAAAAAATAATGATACGTGGATCAGGTATCTAGGTTTATCATATGGACAACACTTTTTTTGTATTGAAAATGAACCCTTTGTTAAGTAATTGATAATGGCGAGCTGCAAGCAGTGCAAGGCCACGATTGYATGTAATCAAAATTAATAAAGGGAGATATTCTCCACTATACATGATGCCGATCAAATTGATGCAAAAATGGAAGTGTCCGTAATGGCGTGGCCTCGCTCCTAAATGAAAATTTAATAGTCCTGCAAAAGTCTAGTAGGGGCAGAATTACATAGCATAACATACATTTTTTGTCAATTTAATTTACAATTAATGGCAGCAGCAAATAAATGCTGCTGTATAGAACAAGAAAGTATAGGTACTTACATAAGTATATCAAAGAAGTTTTATAATGTTTGAAAGAATATTATAGAATATAAAAGTACAAAAAAAATATTAATTTTACAAATAACTGTTATTGTCTAGGAAAAACAATAATAATATATCCATTTTATTTACAATWAATGGCAGCAGCAAATAAGTGCTACTGTCTAGAGCGAATAAAAAAAAACATATATGTATATAAGTTTAACAATGTCTAACATAATATCAATATAAAGATACAAATCGAAATAATAATATTACATTGTATTTAGAGAGGTAAATTAGCTGTACGTAGATCATATGTAAATGACAAAGAGAGAAAGAAAAAGAAGAGAAAAAAAGGGGTGATAAAAAAAGGGGCATAAAATACTTAGAACTAACTTAGGACAGAAGTGGGCCGCACACTGTTCCTTACCGTTAGCACAGGGAGCCCAACAATGACTTTGAAGCTATAATAGTTGAAAAAAAACATTTTTTACTTAAAAAAACAGTCTACTTTTATTATTCAGTGTCACAATGCATTATAAATGGGTTTTAAGAAATTTCCCCTCCTTATATATATACAGAGTGACGCCACTATATATATAGGGAGGGGAAATTTTTTAAAACCCATTTATAGTCCATATCGATTGTGACACTGAATAAAATAAAAGTAGAAATCTAAAAATAGCCAGGTCTCTGAAAACGCTGTGACACCCCTTGTATGCTTGTATCAATGGGCTCCTGGTTGAGCTCGTTGATTCGTTTCAAAAAATTTTCAATTCCGCGGGCTCAAGGACAAAGAGTGTCCAGTTTTGGACTATAGACCCTTGCATAGCAGTTTCATAGTGAGATGAACAACACAAAAGMTTTTTGCCCTCTTGGGAACTAGAATCCATTGTTTTGTCCTCCAGTTAGAGCTGCATTCCCACGAACTGCAAAGGGTCTATAGATCTCAATCTGAGCGAAAGATATTCTWAAAAAACGCTGTTTGACTTTACGATACTTTTCTAGTGATTCTCTTAAATGCGCGGATGATCTATTTTTAGAAAAATCTCTGTTGGTCGTCCAACCATACTTTCAAAGACGAGAAAAAACATAATGGAGATGAACAAATTGCAATTTGAAGTTTTCATTACGATAACAACCTGCTCTGTATGAATTTGATAGAAGTTTATTACAGTGCCAATGAAACTGAGAAAAACTGAGACGCATAGATAGATGAGAAAAAGAAAAGTGCTCGAGTAAAATCTTCCATTAGAAATCCAAAAGATTAATGAGAAGTTGTGAATTTTCAGCTATATTCGATTTATAAATTATTCAACTTTCGGCTGTTAAAAAAAGGAAACATTTGTTTTTTACCTTTTGTTATTATCACAGTGCTTTCCTTTAAATGAACAATCATTCCGGACTCATGTTTTAATACTGATGCATAATGTAGAGTCGTATTCTTAACTGAAATTCAGTGAAACTGAAACATCAGTTTAAAAGTAATCTTCAATTACGTACTTTAATTTTGCTGCAATTCTAATTCAAGTAATTTTTTAATTGTCAATTGATTTGAAACATATTTTTACTGACTCAAAAAGATGTACCATTCTCCAATTCTCGATAACGAAAACCACGAACCACACGCTCGCCTTTTTTGTCTCTGGAAGTTTAAGGACCAACAAGGACAAATCGTACAGCGGTGTGTCCATACAAAGAAAGGTACAAACCCAGCTGTGTTCACCACCCAAAATGAATGGCAGTTTCATTAACGAGTTTTTTGTATCAGTCAAATATGACGTCACACGATCGTGACACATTGCGTGACTTTGAATAAACAGTCCAGGCTGAGTGCTCATTTGGTTCGGGGCCATAATGAAGCGTCCCGAAGTGATAAGAATGCACTGCTTAGTATCTGGGATATTTCCTAGCTATATACCAATATCCTAATGGATCAACGTTGTTGATGTTGAAGTTCGTAGAGTATTATGTTTAATGAACAAGTCTTAAAGCTGTAATGAGTTTTAAATCATGTCAATCTTATGTGTTGTCGGTGAGTTAGCTCTCAGTTCTGTATTTGTTCAAGCGGTGTTAGAGTTCTCAAAATCTCTTTACTGACTGCAGTTATGTGTTGTTGTCTTTCTAGTTAAGAAGGGGAGGATTGAATCAAATCAAGGTTTGTAATCTTAGTTTCAAATCTTTTTACAAAACCCGTGTAAACGTTCGGAGCTGGCCTCATTCAACTAGTGGTTATTGTACTGTATCAATATCGGTGACCCAGCTATTTGTTTTCAAATAKACTCTATGAATACTGAAGTATTTTCCTTAATGCTACATTTAAGAAAATGTCCATTTGTCAGTGTTTAGAAAAATCTAAGTTATTGTGTTTTTGTTTACTAAAACCACGGAAGTCTAAAAAGTCTAATAATATGTTTTGAATCGAAGAATGTGACGTTACAGTCAGGCGGATCTTTGAAATTCTTGTCCAAAATGAAGTGTGTTTCAGCAACAACACTTTAACCAACGTGAAGTTGAATGATTATAACGACTAATTTCATCCTGGTCGACTATTGGATTTAAATTGTAATATTTAAAAGTTTTACAAGAATTAATATTTCTGCCATGATATTGAATGCATACCTTTACATTACATTTATTTAAATAATAAAATCGTCGACATTCTTCTCCTCTTTTACTTTCATTTTCCAAAGCAAAATACAATTCATATGTGAAGATATTGCTACAAAATGCGTCCCTTCAAACAGAGGTTGACAAAGGCATAGCTCCAGTCTGGGGACAGGAGTTTGTTTTGTGAGTATATGATGACATAATCCACATTATACTGTTTATAAAATTGTGAATATTAAATTTTTTGAATCGTGTACTCCCTGGTCTGTTTTACTATCAWTGATTGGAATACCTGTTGATTAAAAACTTGCATGCACATAGCAGCTGAGGATTCTAGCAATCACCTATAGTTACTTTCCTTATGTGATGTGACTGAATTGATGTGAATGCAGCATACAAGATATGCAGGGCTGTAGCTTTAGTAAGAGGCCATCCGAGGCTCTCACCTCTGTTTATGCAAAAAATATAAAAATAATACTAATCTTGTATGCAAATTCTTTGTTTCATAAATGCATGATAAATTCTGGGTAAATCTGTTCAATAAAGAGTTACCAAAAGACCAACAAAACCCTGCAAATCGCATTTCCAAGAGACTGAATTTCAAGTTTTATCAGGGTAGAATGCACCTGTACTCCCCTAGTTCTGCCCACCTTCAGCGTTCACTTGCCTCGGTTATCTGTTCACTCTRGCTACGGCCCTGATATGCTGTGCTCTCTTATTCCCCATGAACACTGGAGTTGGTCAAAAGGAGGCAAAGGACCAGTTGTCATGCATAGCTATTAAAGTATAGCTAATGGCATTGAAGAAAAATCCATAATTCTGATAAATAAGCATATTCTTATGCCTGCGTGGTGACAATACATGATAAATATGTTACACATATTTCAACATGTGATATTGTAGAAATTAKTTTATTTTACCATTGAGTTAACTTTATTTCTGCTTCTAAATAATAATCAAAATTCTCACTCTGACACTAACTGACTCATGGCTGTCACAACTGCTGACCTTTACWGCATGAATGCCAGATTTTACCTGCAATTATATATTGTAGGTAACATATGTCAAAGCTTATTAATGGCTAGTTGAGGTYTAACTTTAAACATTATTTATGTACTTGTAAACATCACTGCAATTGATCGGTTGCTAATGTGACTATAAATATTACCTTATTGAAAATCATTGATGCATGATCTTGAAGTGTAAGAATGACTTATTTTTGTTTGTTACTCAGTGAGACCAACAAACTAGACCAGAGTCTGGTCTTAGAACTATGGAACAAAGGGTTCTTCTCAGATTCCTTACTTGGATCTGCTGCCATACCTCTTATGCAAATACACCATTCTCAAGAGGTAATTATTATAATTGAATAATTATGTACAGTGCCATGTTGACATCTACCAGCAGTAAGCTGAATGGTAGATGTTAGGCTAGCTACATAGTTTCAGCAGTGTAATAGTACCTAATGGTCCACTGATTGGGTGTTATTATACAAAATACTGATCTTRTAATACATCCTTGGGAAACAGAAAAAGTGTCAGTTGGTAGAGCTGTCCACCCATGAGAAAGTGTGAATAAATTTGTATAGAAGAAAAATCAACAGGGTTTTGCAGGTAACTATACCTGTCCACTTTTGAGAACATCCTGTATTTTCATTTTGATKATGTAATCTCATGTGAAGATTTGATAAAATCTGGTGTAAATTTGTCAAAATTTATTCCCATTCAAAACCATTGTGCTCTATCACCTTGTTTGGTTCGTGTYTCAAAGAAATTGTCAAATTTTCAAGTTGTCATTTTACTTAGTACATTGCAGAAAGCTTGATGAAGGATGAGTTTAATAGATACTGCTTTCAWTGTTAAAGGAGGGAAGAGGAACATGGGTGACGCTAGACTTAAACAACCAACAAACTGGACATAAACTTCTTGTGGACACAAGATTTGAGCTGCCATCTGGTGAGTGTTTTTGCATCCATTCAGTTTCAATGTTTCAATGCACTTGAAATGAAAATATCATTGTTATGGCAGCTACAACAGTAGTGTAGCAATCAAAGCATGTCAATAGGCCATTTGCATGATGGCGTAACTTTACTACAACTACCAGAAAGCCTTGCGCATTTTCTTTGTTATTCAGATTTTTAATCCCCTTAGCGATTAGTAAAACAATTCGCACTAATTGCATTACAAAAGAAAGTGGGCAAAACATTCTGGTAGTTGTAGTAAATGACGCCATAATGCAAATCGCCTATTGGACATGGTCCAAGTAAGTAGTCAGCCCTTGTATAGAATAGTTCCAAACAAGAATCAATATGAAATGCATCATATTTCAGACTCAAAGGACATGATATCAGGCAACATACMCTACTTTATGAACAATGTGCATGCATGCTATTGAATTAAGATCAGAGTTGTAGCTAAGATGATATCAGTGGTCAGAGTGATAGTGGTTGCTTAAATTCTATTGCTCAGGTTTGTCAGAAGAAGATGCAAGACTTTTACAAGAGAAACTTGACATGTTTTATAACATAATGGACCAGGAAATGGAAATACTCCAACAACAAGCCAAAAATAAAATGGATATCGGAGAGCGTCTTCCTTTAAGCCCTGGTTAGTTCCACTTCATACATCTCTTCTGTTTTTAGATCTATGCTTGTCACTGCAGGGATAGAGCGGATTTCGTATGAGTGGGAAACGGACGGTAATGTACTGTGTCCGTAATCGTACTGTAACAAAATTCTAGTGCCCCATTGTTTCACCAAAATTCTGCAGGCCAGGTGCGGTAACCGTGCGGTAACGGTGCGGTAACCGTGCGGTAACGGTGTCCCACTCATACGAAATCCGCTCTATAGTCAACACACAATGTACAGTGAAGTATGTTCAAAATAAACAGTAAACTATTAGTATTTTTTTACTGACTATAAATAGTAGATATCACTGAACCAGAGCAATCCATTAAAGCAAAAGGCAATACACAAGAGACTTGACAACGGCACACTTTTATTTCATGTGAACGCAATACGTATTTATTTGGAATGTTATGTATTATTATATGTAATAGGACTCCATGCTGTCCAATTAAGAAATAATTGGACGAGGAAAATTCCGAGGACTGCCAAAAATTGGACGAGGCCGTGGCCGAGTCCAATTTGGCAGTCAGAGGAATTTTTCGAGTCTAATTATTTCTTAATTGGACAGCATGGAGTCTTATTACCTATTAATTATATAGCTGCACATATTGATCCCAAATAGGTAAAAGCCAACCACAGCTTTTAACAAAAACCCAATTGAAAACCTGTCCAATTAATTTCTTAATTGGACAGGATTCCAAAATTAACGAAAAATCCAGCTTTTACCTATTTGGGATTAATATGTGGCTATATAATTAATATATAAAATATGTGCGGGAGGCCTTTATGCGCATTTAAAACTGCGAGCTGCAAGCGGGCAGTTTTATAGCCCATAAAGGTCGGATGTGAATATTTTATATTGCTTATCAAATTCCAACATAAGGTAAAGCATATTTTGAAAAAAACTTCAGCATAAAATATCATTTGTAAGAGAAAATCGAAGTTAAAGTTGTATGCAAATCAGGACAAATCTCTTGCTCATATAAAGATACGGTCACGGCAATGATTTTCCATTGTGTTTACACAAAATAGTGATCATAATAAGCCATTCTGAARTTCAAAAGGAGACTGGGAAAGAGTAGAAATAACCGCTTATTGAAAACTAAACCCTGCCGTAAAGAACCATCCATATCTTAATGTCACTTTCAAGTTTGAGTCTGCTCTAAAGCCAATACATTCTTGTTTGTTGTTTTTAGTTCTAAATGCTTACCACTCTGTAATTATTCATACTCCAACTCAGCAACTAATATACTAATTCTAGTATCGATTCTAGTATGCTCTTTCTCCGCTCTTTCCACTCATGGAAGCCATTTTGCAGATCAAGTTTGTAACTAGTCACCAGTCCCTTTTTGCATTTTGCAATTTGGCATTATAACAAGTATTGACTATCATTATTTTTTTTTATAATTACAGCATTAAGTGACGAGATTTGTCAAGACATTGCTGTTGAAACAGAAGGGTTACCTGACAATAGTGATATTTCGGGGCTGGGATTCTTGGACCAAGAGGACATACTTTTCCAGGTTCCAAATCGCGCAACCAGTGACCTTRACAATGAAGAAAAAGAGAAACCAAAAGTCATACTGAGAGAAAAATCTCATGGCAGGTAGGACCCTGGAACGTTCTTTTACTATATAGTGGCTACATGGGAAGGGCGGTTATCGAGGTTTTGTTCCCGGAAGAACATATTTAATCCATGTCTTAATCTTTTCAGAAGTAAAAATCGCGATTTCAGAGTGTATTCACCAAGTCGTGATACATCAGAYAATGAACCTACTAACAGTGTAGACTTTACSAACGATGAATACGCTGATTTCGAGATGTCTGAAAATCAACAACTAAAGCAGGAAATCCTCTACGAGACAAACGATGAGGTGAGAATCTGTCTCTCTGAAAAAGAAAGCTTATGCGTTACGGACTGATCATTTATCTACATTTGGCGCCTTATTGTGGAGAAGCCTACATGTATCCGCTACTGCAAAAGTCGCTAAAAATTTAAAGAGTATTGATAATGTGTTTTCGTAAAGCTGACTCCACGCCCTAATGCAAAACAGCATCTGCAGCAGATATACTTTTACCGTAATATGGCCAATGCTCGCCAATGCACTTGTTATTACGGTCAGTGCTCACATAGTACGCGCTGTTACTATATGGTATTATATACGCGCTGTTACTATATGGTATTATATACGCGCTGTTACTATATGGTATTATACAGTATGCGTTATTACGATCAATACACGTGTGGTACGCGTTATTACGATCAATACACGTGTGGTACGCGTTATTACGATCAATACACGTGTGGTACGCGTTATTACGGTCAATGCATGTGTGGTACGCGTTATTACGGTCAATGCAAGTGCGGTACGCGTTATTACGGTCAATGCAATGTCTGAAATCGACTCTGCATCCTAGATATAGGACTAGATAAGATGATATTAAATGTGATCGAGTGTTCGAATAACATCCAAAACACCCATGTAATGTTCCGTTTAAATATAAACAGAATAAACAGTTAATTGCAAAAAGGTTGTGAATTGAGATACTTTTACACATATAATGAGATTCATAAAATATCATGGATAAAAAGATGAAAGTTGTATTTTTCCTCTGACAGATTTTACAAGCAGAATGGGAAATGGTTCCTAGTGATCTCCCTGATGGTGAACAAGAAGAGGATGACGGACCACCGAAACTAGTAAGAAAATTCGCCAAGAAAAAGAAATCACCAAGTTGTCGCAAGGCCTCATGGTAAGACACATGGCATTTTCTTTTAGTATCATGTACCAGAAAGGAATGAAAGGGTCGTTTCGTTGCAGTGTAGCAAGCGGGACAAGGCAGCCACTCTAATCTCAATTCGAGTTGCGTTAATGTTTTTTCGCCTTTTTTGCAACAATTGACCTAATCAGCTAACCCAAACTGCTGTAAACGCTTCC